TTCCGGCCGCACGGAACCCCCGGGTCGCGCATCCCATCCCATCCCACCGGCTCCGTGTGCGCCCCCGATCCCTGCCTGCCTCCGCCTGTCCCAGCAGAGCCGGCTGGGACACCAACTGGAACCAGTTTGTCCTTGCTGGTCGGATGGGTAAARCACCRGCAGCYTGCAAGGGAGGTTCCCCTGCACTTGTTAGGGGAAACTGTGGTGGTGGAAAGGGAGGTGACGCTCCCAGATGGAGCTGATGGGGTTCGGAGGGTTTCCCTGTGTGCCGGGAGTCTCGGAAAGCGGCGGAGGGCCGGATCCCCACCCTGCTGGAGCAGCTGCCTTCCCACACGTGTGCGATTCCCGCCCGCAGCCYGTGGCACCGGGCTCACGGAGCTCTTGGGCTTTGATCTGGGATCTGTAGAAACCTGCCAGGGCTCGGGGCCAACTCTGCAGAGAAGGTCCTGGCTTTTGCTGGGCTGCCAGGTCCCTGGAGGGAGCAGAGGGAGGTTTTCAGGGGGATTGCTTCTTGCTGCTGCTGCTGCCGCCGATTGCAGCCCGGGGCTGCGCAGGAGGAGCAGGTGGTGACATGATGGAGCACAGGGGTCCTGGCCCTTGACCTGTCCTTGGAGGTGCTACAGAAACACTGGCCAAAAACCACAGGACAGTGGCCAGGGGCCCGTCCCTGGCTCCACGGGGTGGGAGCACACTGAACTCCCCGGGCGGCTCAGGAGTGCTGCGTCTGCAGCTCCGGGTCAGCACCACAAACACCCCGGGGTCAAGAGTTCCCCTTGCCGATGTAAGAGGATGGGGTGGCGTTTCCGCAGTGGAAACGCAGCAGTGAGGAGTTTGGGACTGGTGGAAACGCAGGCACGGTGTCTGTGCTCGGGGAGCAGTGCCAGGGGCCGGCAGCCCGGGAGGGGACAGTGACGGTGACAGTGACGGTGACAGGGACAGCCATCCCGGGGCTGTGTCCAGCCAGGGTGGCTTTGCCAGCTCCGAAGGAGTGTGCTGGGTAGGGGGGAAGTGTTGTCAAGTGACACTGGATGGCAGAGCTGTCCTTCAGGGTCCAGGGGACAGCAGAGGGTCTCAGCTTCCCCGCTCTCCTGCTGTGTGAGCTGATGGGAAGTTCCCTGTTGGCATCTCAGCCCAAAAATCCCCAGAAATCCAAGCTGGGAGCTCATGGCAGGGAAGGAGGGGATGCCCAGCTGTGGGAGCCGTGCCTGGGCATGGTTTGGCCTCTCCCCAGGCTGACCCTGCCAGGGCAGAGCTGTTTTATTCCCCTCGCTGGTGCCTGCTGTGGCAGCGACAGCAGCGCCTGCTTTGTTTTGAGTGCCTGTGATGAATTGCTGTTGGCACCTGCATGGCTCTTTGCTAATGTAAACCTCCCCCAGCCCCTCCTKCTCATCACCCAGAGCTGCTGGGTCCCCCTGGGGGCTGGGATTCGCAGGGGGAAGGTTCCTTTCCCCAGTGGAAGGGTGGGTTTGGCATTGGGCAGGAGCTCTGTGCCCATTCCCAGCCTTTCTGGGCTCCTGGCAGCCCCTCTCTCACCTGCAGCTCTGCCCAGGCCCTGCTGTACCCTGATTCTATGATCTGCCAGTCTTTCCTCATTGCCCAGCAGGCTGGGCAGTGCCCAGTGTGGGCTCCAGCTCCACACCAGTGGCTAACTGGGAGGAATGGYGCTGTGGGCTGGTGGCAGAGCTGTTCCGGGTTGTGCTGACAGAGAACCCAGCTCYCAGTGCGGGATTTGGGAGGTGATCTTTGCTCACACACGGCTTCCCCTCCCTCATTAGTGTCTCTCCCTGACCTTCTGTGCCACCAGAATTTAGGTCCTGCCCCAAACTTATCTGTGCTCTAAATCCAGCAAAGCCGGYGGAGATGTGTCAGGGATAAACTTGGCTCCAGCTCGCCCGCAGGAATGGGGAGGCTGCAGGAGCGGTGGGAGGGAGCCGGGATCATCGCTGCCCTGCTGGCAGCAGGAATCCTGCCGGTGGGAAGGGGTTTGGGGCGGCGAGGAGCGCAGCAGGGCCAGCTGTTAGCGCCGGGCAAGTGCCGAGCTCTCCTCCGCATTGCAGCCRTTCCTTCCGCTGGAAACTCGGCCACCGCCTGTTTATAGCCCAGGGGGGATGTGGGGAAGGGGGCTGAGCCCCCCTGGGGCTGCCCCAGTCCCTCGGTGCTGGGTAAAACAGGGTGGGAGGGTGGTCCCGGGGATGCTGATGCTGATGMAGTGCTGGAGTTATTTGCCCTCTGGATTTTCCAATATCTTTGGTGTGCAGCGCTGGCCTTAGCAGGGCAATCCTGGATCCGTGTGAAGCCTCCTGGCTGCTCTGGAGAGGGGAAGGACACTGTGGGATAGCGTCCTGCAGCCAGGAGCCCTGGGGACTGTCCTATCTGCCTGCASTGCCTGGAAAACCTTCCCCTCTCCCGCTCCTGACCTGGAAATGCYGTTTTCCTGTGCAAACGTGCAGAGCTGCGAGGCTGCCGTGCCCTTTGCTACGGAGCTCCCACGGGCCTGCGGGAGRTTCCTATCCCTGCCCAGGAAAACTTTGTTTAAGGTTTTGAAGAAGCTGTCTCATCCCAAGCAGCGGGAAACCTTTTCAGAGGAGAGCTTTGCCTGTGGTTCAGTGGCCAAATCACTTGCTGGGGACAGGAGATAACAGTMGAGCAGAGTGGAAGGCTTGAAGTGGTTTCTGGCATCCCAGATTTGTGTCCCAACCCCTTAACCCTTCCCTATTATCCAGTCTGGCACAGCTGAAACTCCCTCCTGAGGAGCACATCTCCTCCTGCGTGTGAGGAACCTTAAAATTAATGACAGCTCTCTGTTCTGTAAAAGATCTATTAAATGTCACTGTCCCGAGGCAGCGCAGGACAATCGGGTTGGAAATCTTTCCCTGCACAAACAAGGGGCTGGCACCCCTGCCAGGGCACCCAGGAGGTGACAGAGCAGGGAGGGCACCCYGGCTGGCAGCAGCCGCCTGTCATCGCCCTGAGGCGCTGAAAGCAGCGGCATTTGGGGACTCAGGGCCCTCTGGGCTGACAATCTGCACTGGGAAGGATAAAATAACCTCTCTGAGCCTCCCCCCACGGCTGCTGCAGCCCCTTCCTTTTCTCTGCTCCTGATAATGCCTCCCGTGGCATCAAAGCCGGCTCTTTGGCAGGCGAGGGAAAACACTGACATTTCGTAACCGTTTGGAACAAAAACAGCTTTGCTGCGAGGGGTTTCCATGCTCAAAATACTTTTTTTTTTTTTTAAGTGGTTTTCGTGTGCATTTGATCCTGGAAGTGATAAGAGGGAGCTCTGGGAACCGCTGGTGTGTTCTGATTGTCGGCAATTAGCCGGAGATGTGTAAGGAGCGCTTTGAAGAACGGCTTTGGCTTCCTCCGGGGTTTTTTTTTTGAGCGTTAAACCCACCCAAGTTTGTGATGGGTGAACAGCCCATGTCCAGAGGGTTCAGCTGCTCGTTTTATGCGCTCCGAAATTTGGGGAAACCCAAGTTATTAAGGACCAGAACAGGAATAAAACCTGAGTAGCAACAGGTTTGAGAGCTGGCTTTGGTGTCCGGGAGTTACCAGCAGGCGAACCGGTCCCAGCGCTGGTGGAGACACCCGCAGTGGCCACAGCAGTCTGTCACACCTTGTCACCTTCCTGTCCCCGCAGCCCTGCCCTGCAGGGGTTAAACAGCTCGGAAATGCTGTCGGATGAGGCGGCCTTGCCGCTGCACCTGATGCTCCTCCCGGCGGAGCCTGGCAAGGGAAGGAAAGGGAAGGGCTGAGAAAATAACGCTTATCCTGCTCGGAGAGGGTCCTGCGGGGCAGCACGGCCCCAGCCCCCACCACGGGGACACCCTCCGGCCGGGGGACATGGGGACAGGGCCACTGACAGGGTCCCGACCCCCTCACTGGGCACGGGGGACTCGTGGGCACAGCTCTGGGGTTCCTGGGCATCGGCGGGGTCAGGGCAGGGATGGCACAGTTGGGGATGGGGATGGGCACCTCTGCCTCCCCCAGCTCCACTGGGATATTTACCACACAGGGGTTTGTGGTTTGTCCTCTCAACACCTCTTGAAAGAAGGATCCATGTCCTGCAGTGCTGCTGAAGGCATTTGGGAAAGCGGAGAGAGATTTGGGAAAGTGGAGTGGGATTTGGGAAAGTGGAGTGGGATTTGGAAAAGTGAAGTGGGAATGGGGAAAGTGGAGAAGTAATTGGGAAAGCGGAGTGAGATTTGGGAAAGTGAAGGGGTAATTGGGGAAGCAGAGGGGGATTTGGGAAAGTGGAGTGAGATTTGGGAAAGCGAAGGGGGATTTGGGAAAGCAGAGTGAGATTTGGGAAAGCGAAGGGGGATTTGGGAAAGCAGAGAGGGATTTGGGAAAGCAAAGGGGGATTTGGGAAAGCCGATCCACTGGCTCCTTGCTGCAAATCCCACACCCTCCCTGTCCATACCCTGCTGGGTGAAGGTTTTGGTCCTCCCCTCCCTCTCGGGATCACAGCCTCCCTGTGTGCCTTTTCCTCGCAGGAAGGTGTGTCAGCCCTGCTGGCCTCCCCGTGTCTCACTCCTGCAGGCCGGGAATTGATCCGAGGCATTTTGGGATATGGCTTTGGGCAAGGAGGATGCACAGGACATGGAGAAGTTTCTCTCGGGGTGCAGAGAGCT